GATTTGTACAATCCAGAAAATCGTGAGGCTCTTGATCTTGTTCAGACAGGATCATCGCACTGGGTTCTAGGGTCAACCCTCATGTTAGCTCTGCCTTCTATTGTAACAGCTCAGTTCTTGGGCTCATGGAGTGATACGTATGGCCGTAAAATACCAATGCTTTTGCCACCAGTTGGTAAGTACTTGTGAGCTGTTTTTCAAATGATAATTATCTTGTTGCACTATAAGATAAATCTAAAAGTAGTTCTCATATTTTTAAGCAGTGAAGGGTAGATGACTTATTTTTTTTTTTTGTGATTTTCAGGTGCAATGTTTGCCAGTCTTCTCTACATAATCATGAGTGTTCACCTGTATCAGACACCTGTTAGCCTGGTCCTTCTGGCATCATTCTTGACGGGATTATGCGGAGGGTTTACGTCTTGCATTCTTACTTGCATGAGCTATGTTGCGCAGGTAATATTTCAAGTTCGTTCATTCGAGTCTTAATGCTACTGAAATAGAACTCGGTTATTCTTATTTCTATACACTGATTGTTTTGGGATTTTAATGGTAGGTGATTTTGTTTCAGGACGAGGCATCTACTCTCTTTCTTAAAATTGAATTAATTTTTTTTTATGTGAACATGTTTTGTGTGAATATAGTTTTTGTTTTACTGATAGTGATTTCATCGTGCTTTTCTTCCCCTCAGTTCGTTATTGTAACAGAATTAGGGACAAAGTGAAATACACAGTTTTACCATTTATTTCATAGATATTCAGTCTGTATATGATGATAATTCAATAAAAAAAGCAAAACATATAGGTAAACCAAGTAAATAATACTCCATTCCAGGTCAGCAGTTTTCGCACAAGAACTGTCCGTGTTGGGATCCTGGAAAGCATGATCTTTATGGGAGGAACCATTGGCCCTCTGCTTGGCGGTTGGGTGCAGGAGGCTGGCGGAAGACCTGCAACATTCACCGTCATTATGGCATGTCATGCAGCCATCGTCATTTACATCATACTCTGTGTTCGGAATATTCCACCAAGGTTCGTTTGTTGTCCTGTTTGTTTTGTGTATACAGGGCCTGTTGTTGGCAAATTAACAACCTAATTTGGTAGTTTGGATGATCATTCCATGATCAGGTGCATTACTATTGCTGCAAGGGATTTGTTTCCAAAACTGCTGCTATTGCCTTTAGTGGTACATATGCAAAAACAGTACAGATAAGTAAAAAGTGCTGCTGGATAGTACTATTGCTATTTGGTCAGAACATTTAAACCCCTTGGATCCGGATGCTTCACTGCTGGCTTGTGGGCCAGAATGCTGGCTTTAGGATTATTTGTGTGGTTGCTCGGACGGGTGTGTAGCTTGTGGGCCAGGCGCACGCGAACACTCATGTGTGGTGACAAGACTCCATTCCTCCCTTTGCAATGCTGTTTTCTCTTATTCTGTATAAGTATTTTGGTTAGTTTTTTTTTCCATCATCTAATGTCTATATTTGTCATTTGATTTGCTTTATCCAGATGATAATAGACTGTTTTCCTTGCACAGACTCCATATCATCTCTATAGGTAATCCATAACTCAGTGCAATAATCATGTCTAATTTTTATTTATTCATAATGTTCAATTTTCTGTAATACAACTTGTGTTGCCAGTAATTGTGGACAGGAATAAGATCTTGAGCATTGGAAATAGCATCCTCCTTGGAGCCAGCCGGCACTCATCCAGCCATGGATGGTACAATTTAAAAGCCTAATATTACTGGTGGTACTTGCCCATTCAGAATTAAACCTTTCCATGTAAAGTAAATTAAGCAAGCTACAGCCTCATAGATAAAGGGATTGCCATCCTATTTGAGCGAGTCTTTCAGTTGCTATTATTATATTGTATATTTTTTTCTCTTCCAGGCATCCTCCACAGGGATACTGGGTACGTGATGGTTGCGGCTGCCAGCACCTGCGTGAGTCAGCAAGTACTGTGATTAGGGAGAGACAGGAGAATCGTCGATCATATATTGTATTGTTGTTGGCATCAGCAACAGTAGTCATGATTTGCACTGCTGGTAAATATGGAATACGTCATTATATATCTGTATATTGGCATTTGCAAATTGTCAATAATCAATAACATTTGAATTTAGAAGTAGCTTTTCCTTTTAGAATCATATATGTTATTTCTCCAATTTCAGCTTGCACTAACAATGCTGAAGTATATTTTGTGACAGTGAATAAAAGCCATTGCACTGTATATCCTAATACTCCACACACAGTGTATCAGTAGTGCTAGTTTCATTCAGACTTTTGATGAACTTTTTTATGGTTACACTTTTCCATTTGCAATAACTTTTCAGGTGAATTGGACATATCATACCTTTTTGTGAAGGACAAGCCAATAGAATGGGCCTTTGAGAAATATACATGGTATTTCTCCCTGAAATATGGGCTTGGAGCTGTGGCACTGCTTGGCATTCTTCCCTTATGCTCAAAAGTGCCAGACACAATACTGGCACTTGTAGGCCTTGTGAGTAAAGCTTGTGGTTTGGTGGTGCTCGCCATTGCCTGGGAGGACACAGCAGTGTTTGTGGGTAAGATATTATTTGTTTTGCATAGTTTGTGGTGGAAATTCCTCTAAGGGATGTTTAACACTGTGCATCCCTAATTAAATCTCTAGGTCAGCCATTTTAAAGCTAGTTTGGTGAAAAAGGATAATTAGGTTTCCATGGTATATTTCATTTTGATAAGACCAATAATATAAACAAGCTTACATTTTTTGGATGACTCTGGCCAGCCAAAGTGTCTTTTATGAAGATCCAGATTATATCAGTAAGATTAAAGCAGAATGAAATATTTAAAAACCAAGTCAGATTAAGAATCATAGATAAGACCAAGTCAGATCAAGAATTATGAGTGAAGAACAAGTTTGATTTCAGTATTTTAAGTGAAGAAGAGATTTTTTTTTAGCTAAATTTACTTCTTTTCAATACAGAATAGATTTATGATAAGTAAATACCAAGTTCAATCTTAGAATTGAATATGTGAATACCAAGTTAGATTGAGAATTATGAGGAAAGATCAACATAGATCAAGAATTTAAGAAAAATAAAGACCAAGTCAGATCCGGATTTATAAGACCAAGTTTGATGTAAAAGGGAAAGATTAAAAAGTACAAGATTTCGTTTAGAAATGTAACTTTTGATTTATTTACTTACCAGAACTATTACTTCTCTGGCAGAGTATTTCAATAATTTAGACACCTTTAACATAACTGGAGCTTGGAAATGATTTTATCCCCCTTTTCTTATTTTCTTTTTTTCTAATTGTGTTACTAGGAGCGGCGGTGTCCATGCTGAGCACCTGGTCCATGCCAACCCTGAGAGCTGCCATGTCCAAGTTGGTCGAACCAAATGAGCAAGGTTAGGATTTTCCAGACATTTCAAGTTTATGGGTAAAAAACAGAAAACATCAGATTTTGCACATATCCTTTTTACATAGAGTTTAGTGCTCTGTTTATCTTTATAGAGTATATTTTTTCTTGATTGATTATGGCTTTTGCTTTTGTATGTTTGGGTATTAACATTTTGAAATATTTGAGTTCAGTAGTGTGTAACTATACTTCAAAAAAACAAAAGTAAAGGTTGGATTTTTCTCTATCAATATGTAAATGAAAAACTATTCTGAAAATGTATATATGTAGTCATTATTAGTAGGTAACACCTGTCACCTGTATTTGTGAGAGAAAATGTCATTGTATCATCCTGTAGTTTTTATTTGAAGATTAACTTTGAATAATTCAGGTGTACACCATGCCATAAGAGTAATACAGGTACATGCTATATCACACATTGATCTGCATTCAGTTGTCTCCTAGTATAGAAGTATACATGGGTATTTTTGAATTTTACAAGCTAATTTTGAAATTGTAGTCATGGCTAAAGAAATGTAAATTTGTTACCATAACTTCTCTTTGCAGGGAAATTGTTTGCATGCGTAGCTCTGCTTGAGAATGCTTGTACACTAGTTGCGTCTGGAGTGTTCAACAGCATCTACCCAGCGACAAGGCATATCTTCCGTGGGTTTACCTTCCTGATGGCTGCGACGTTTCTTATTCTGCCCATTGTCATAATCAGGTACACCTGTAGTGTCTCAGTGCCGTTGATATCAAATTCACTAATGGAGTTTAGGTGTTCTTGCAAGGAGATGGAGAGTTTGCATATGAATGCAGTGGATTGTGCTATTGATATGGAGTGGAATCAACATTGCAGGGAGGTTTTTGGGTCTATGGACATCAATTATTTTCTAAGGAAGGATCAGTGTAAATTCTTGTTTAGAAGCAATTTTAGTTTTCATGGGATCTCGGTAATTTTGTAGTACATGATCTTGTAGTCAGTGAAAGTTATTTGATGATTTAAACATTAACTGGTAATCATTTCTGCCTGCAGTGTTCTACACAAGGCTTTGCGACAGTTCAGTAAGTATGATTCAGTGGAGCTTGCAGAAGAAGCAAGGGAGGAATTTGAGGATGCCGACAGTGACAGGAATGTATCTCCTACTGCCCAAGGAGAGGACATTTCTCCCGGCCAAGAGGATGGCTCTGGTGTAAGGTATGACGAAAACACTCAGGAACAGAATTCTGGAATGAACAACAGTGAAATCGTCACAGTAGCTGCAGGTAGTGAAAGTGCTTGAAGTAAAGCATGCAGACTGAAGTGGTGGGAGATGGTAAACATATTATGAAAGAATCTTTTGCTTCATAAGATTAAGATTTGATTTGTGGCTTTGTGTTATAACCTGTTGGTCTCCCAGCTGTTCAAACCTTTTTATTATGGATGATGTAATTATTATTTGAGAATCTGGATACAGATTACAAAGAACAAAATATATGCCAGGCATGATTTTGCAAGGAGGTATTTTTAGTTGCATATTGCAATGAAAACAGGACTATTTCTTCATTATTTCTCTTATAGTATGAATGTAATATAATGTTTGTATATATATAGGAACGTATGTATTAATTTGCAAGTATGTGATGCCTTAATAAGAACAAAGTTTTAATTATTTTTCAAGAGGAAAAGTTATTTGCTCATATTTTTGACGCAGATGAAAGAAAATATTGAGATTTTGATACTAATAATTTTGTGTAGAATGGGTATTGAGTGACAACATATTTCAAAGCAATACTGGAGGCCTTTATCAACGTTTGTATGTGTGATTGTCATTGGTTATGAACGTAGGATTTTTGCAGAGGAGGCTATGCCTGCATGAGTTGCTGCCAAACTGTGCAAGATCTGCAATTTCCCCAATTAGGCATAGGTCTAGAGTTCTAGCATACAATTTTTCCTCAGTATCTTTCAGTATTAATAATTTTTTCTCCTTTTAATGAGGAGGCTGAAATGCTGTTCTTTAACTTTTTTTATTTCTAGGGTGTGATAGACTGTGAGGATGTGACTTGGCACTTGGCCAATCCGTAAGGATCATTTTTAATGTGTTCAGCATTAATGTCATTTTTACTGGTGGCTTTTCTTCAAGGATACTACAAATTTTCCATGAAAGAATTCCTGAAATGGTTAATTATAAGGTGTGAGAAATATTTTGAAGCATAGCTTTAACTATGTAACTCCATGCTTCTTTATATAATGAAATTTAATACTCTGCAATTACAGGTCCATTAGAGAGATTATTGATACTGTACTTTGTAGAGATAGATATTTCTAGAGATAGACTTAGTTCAGGTTTTTGGCTTTTGAAGCTTATCATGCAAGCTGTATAGTCTGTGTCATATACTCCATCAAAAAGATATTCTGGGACAAGAATTCTCAAAAGGATGTTGAATGTTAGGTACCAAAGATTATTCTATTTTTCAAATTTGGTTCCAGTGCTCCACTATTCGGGTGGAGTAAGGCCATTTTTCAACTGACTATCATTCACAAACACGCACCCATCACACCCACACCTACCCACCACACACCCAACCAACACACCCCAAACAACACACACCACACACACACACTTTCTTTCTTTCTGTCTCTCTGTCTCTCTCACACACACACACACTATATATTATATATATATATATATTATATATATATATATTATATATATATAATATATATATATATATAATATATATATATATATATATATATATATATATATATATATATATATTATATATATAATATAATATCACTCTCTCTCTCTATGTACAGGGTCTGTAAAGGATATAGTAAGTCTTTGCTGAGTTCTTTATTCCCAGTTGATCTGTTGTAATGCTGTGGTTCCGAATGTTGATTTTATATATATTTTGACAGTTATCATTAAATTAATTTTGAAAATACCAGAAGACATAAGATGAGCCAAAAATGTTGTACGAGTTGTTAAGAATTCACGAACGTAGGATGGAACTACCAGTTATGTTATCTCTGTTATATCGCAGTTAGAGTTTTGTAGTTACATGATATTCTTTGGCGTTGTGGAAGAAGGGCCAGAGATGCCAGTGGTCTAAGATGGTCATGTGTTCCAGGAAGAGAAGATATATGGAATGTCAGTTTAGTAGAGACTGCTGTCACAGGAACGTAACAGTGTCTTTAGCTTTATTGTGCAATTTGCATTAGAAAATTGACTTCTCTTAATGGTTTCTGCAGTCCGAGAAGGCAAATACATGACAGTGGAAAGAATTACTCAATTTAGGAGGAGTGGTTAAATCTGTGATAAGGTTTCTTTGGAGCAAGCTGTTGAGTTTAATTTTGATTTCTTTTTTATTTAACCCATAGGCACCAGTTACAGGCACTGTCCATTGCAGTTTTGTTTGCACAGACAAGGCTTCAAAGCGTCAATTACTAGGCCTACCTGATTTCACCTATTTACTCCATCCCCTTAATTCTTTGGAAAAAAGGTTTCTTATGCTATTATTATCAGTGTTGATGTTTTTTATTAACATTATTAAAAGTGAGATTTGGAAGGGCTAGTTATTGACTCCATATATGTCAAAAAAAGAAAGAAAGAAAAGATTGACTAAAATCACAGTGGACAGGAAGTGTACCTATGCACTCATGGCGTCAACAGGTTAAATAAACTATTTTTTCAGTAGTTATGTAAGGAAAATGTATGCATAATTACCTGTAAATTATATAGAATATGGAGGTTGAATTTTTATAGATTATAAGTTTTCTCTTCTTGCATTTTAGTAAGAAAAATATGCAGAATTATTCTATTGCAGTTTTTGATATTTGAAGCATGGTATGCAATTACCATTCCGTTTTACAGAATTGGGCATTAATTAATGTTTAGCGATTAGATGTGTATGAGGTTTCTTTTCTTCCATTGGGCAAACAAGTACTATTAAGCCAATGCTGCTGTGAACTTGTAATTGTTTTATAGTTTTGCTTTGTGTACACATAGATGGCTCCACAAGTGCTCGGCCACCAAGGAGTCAATTAGGAGACCTCTTGACCTCACCTTACTTCCATCCTCGAGTTTTGGATTTTTTTTTACTCTAATTCTGTTCATAGTGATATAGTTATTGTTACTATTGACTTTGTGATTATCATGATGTTAATAACAATACAAATTGCAATATGAAAATAAAAACAGTATTTCTGGCAATCAAAGAAAACAATAAAAGATGAGATAGTAAGTAGTAATAACTGACTCCATAGTGAATAAGCACTTTTAGGGCAATTTATTTGTAAATACAGTTAATAAACTAAACTCACAGTGGGCAGGGTATGTAAATACATGCCATTCCTTGCAGCATTGGGGTGATTATACAGATTCTAGAAAACTTGTACATCATGTAAACTAGCTTCAGAAGGTGAAATACTAGTACAGAATTACATGTTGGAAGAATTGGTTTGATGAATAATTTTTCTTTTTCATTTCAGTGTCCAATGTCCAATGTGTTTATCAGTAACCCTAAAAAGGTTTCTTATTTGTTATTTTGTTGTTATATTAGGAGTTATATATGAAAGTACAAGTGAATGGATATGGTATATCAAATTCTGTAGGAAGTGAGTTTTTTAATGTTAATTCCATTAAGCATGAACGTTATGTGCCCCAAGAGATTAAATAAGAGATTAAAGGATTAGAAACAAAAAAATTATATTTTTCACTAATCTTAAACAGTATGATTCTGTTACTTCGCCTACAACCCAAACAAGCTTTACAAAATTGGTCAGAGAATATAGTATATCAGATATATGAGGACCTTGACTGAAGTTCATAAATATTCTGTTGTTTGGCTACCCTGGAAGTGATTGAATGCTAGTAGCATAACATTTAGTATGTAGGTCCAGTCCAGGTTTCTCTATAGAGAATGCAAATGAAATATTTTGCATTGTGTACTGACTAATCCTAATGGGATATAAAACGTCAAATTTTATTTTTCTTATTTTATTGCTGCTGTTTTGTGTGCCCATGCGTCTGTGTTTGTTTTTTGTTCACCAAGGTTACACGCTTTGATTGTATATCTTAAAAAAGATATATGAATAGAAAAATAGATATATGAATACGTGTTTTGATTGTATATTTTAAAAAGTATGTATAAATTGAAGAATAAAAAAGTAGATGAAAACAAATGAAATGCTCATAGTGTAAACATGTATTTACATTCAGTCAAGATCCAAGTAGCCGTCACAAATGTATGAAGGGTAGTATGTCATTTTACCTTATATATTACTTCCTGCTTGAATTATTATTCTGTTGTTAATAAGGTAGATGCTATATTTTGTAATGTATGTGGAATGTCACACAGAGAGTTAGAGTGCACAAAGGTTTTATATTTTAATATTCCATGAGTATAATTAACAATTTGTAGCAGGCATTACATGACCCGATATTATAAAGACCCATTGAAGTGGATGCACATTTTCAAAGCAAATTTGGTGACCAGAAAAAAATCACAATATTCTAGATTGCAAAACAAAGATTGTAAACATAGTCCTTTATTTTGAAAGAATAGATATACAGAGACTGTTTGATGTAATAGGACTGAACTATAATTTACATATTCAGGTCACTATTTACCTGTAATCAAAGCTATTTTAACCTCGACATGCATGTGATATGAATCTCACATTGCTCATTTAGGGTATGCTGTGGTGTTCATGTAGCTCTGCTCCAACAACTATGCTTTCCTTCAATCTTTGTCATATTCTTAATGTGAACAGAAATCCCATTGGTCTGTTAAGTCGAGTTAGTGATTAGCAATTTTTGTAAAGTGAACATCTGCATGCAAATTATTGCTAAACAGCTAGGTTGAAAGATGGGTCCCAGCAGAAATTTGGCAGAGAACACAGAAAGTTATTTGAAGATTTTCTTGCACTTCATATTTTAGTAGCTAATGGAAATATTATAATAATGTGTCTCAAAGTGACTACTTTGAAGACAACAGTACTCATAATAGTTTAAGCTTTTATACATTTTCTATAAACACAAGTCATATTACCTTAAGTATGATCATATTTCGTTGAGACATCTCTGTGTATGGGAAGGGGCGCATGTGTTTATACACATGATTAACATGGTTGTTATTTATGAAATTTGTTTCCCTTGATATTGATGGCAGCAGGTAATAGCTCCGTATTTTTCTTAAGGAGGTGCCCACCGCTGGCACCACTTTAAACACAGTGTATAAAACACTTCATATTCATTGTGGGCCCTTAACCATGTCAAGGCACAATCTGTTTATACACCTGTATCTATTACCATGTCACTATATGCTTTTACGAGATATTTCAGACCATTGGATTTTTATTATGTCTATTTCCTTTTCCAACCTGCCATTATATCCTACCATCATCAAAGACCAAAATTAGTAATGCACAATAAACATATATCTCCCTCTCCCTTTCCTTCTCCCTCACCCTCACCCTCATCCAATCCTACCCCCTGACCCCACACTACCCCCATTATCTCACCCTTACCCTCTCCCTCTCCTCTCATCCTCTCTCTGTGACACACACACACACACACAGACACACACACACACACACACACAACCACACACACACACACACACAC